TTGATCTTTACATATTTTAGACCCTTTTGGATAACTTTACTTAAGTTTTTTAATCTCAGACCAAAATTTTTGAGGACTATTTTTCGCTAATTTATGAAGTTTATCTTTCTGTTTATTTTTGTATTGTACTATCGCTCTTCGTTTTGTCTGTTTATATCGTCTTCGCCTTATAACAAGTAAGTCTCTATTATCTGTAGACTTACATAATTATTTTATAATTTCTATTTGCATTACGTAATTCTTTTCTTGCAACTTCACATTCATTGTTAAACCAAGGATTTTTACCTTTACGTTCATTATTCTTAAAACTATGTACAATTTTTCTCGTACCAAAAACAAAACGAGCATTATCATATAAACACCGAGCTATATCATTTATACCTGTATCAAAATCTATATCAGACGATATTATATTATTCAGCATTACATCTATACGATTATATTCAATATTCATAATATCTCTAAACTCTTGAGCTTTGCCTTCATCATACTTCAACTTTACACCGGAGCCAACACGCTCATTTTCAGATGGATTCAACATACATTTTGCTTTAAACATACTTGTTACGGTACATGTGTTGAAAATGTATATACATCGTGAACAATGAAATTGCTAATAAATGGAAATAAATCACACGTGCATAACACATAGTCTATCAGGGTATTACCGTTTTGGTTTAAATTTGTAAAACTTCCTATTCCAGCATTGTCTCCACAACGACCATTGACAATTTTTAATGTACTGTTAGCACAAATATCTAAAAGTTTTATACCTGAGGTATTAACACATTCATCCATTGTAAACCTATGTGGCAGGTCACATAAAGTATATTCAATATCTCTATTCATAACATGTATATATTTATTAAAATTCGACTCATTATTCAAGTAATCGTTTCTGTTACCACATCTAGCATTTAAATCTCCGATAACTGAAACTGAACCAATTTCAGAATATTTTCGAACATTTTCTTCTAAACTTTCGAAAAATCCCAATTCGTGCATATTAAAGTATACTGAATTATTTGGAGGAATATATAAGAAAAATATATAAAAAGATCCTCCGATAAATGAAAAAATATCTTACAAAACTTTACCCATAAAATTCCTGATTTATCAATATCTATAACATTAATACCAGGCTTCATGTTTTCTTTGATAAATAAACAAATACCACCGTGACCTCTACGAGAAGACAAACTTTCCTTACGAGGTACAAATACTGACTCATACCCATCTATTTCAAAAGAATCATTTTTACGTTGCCATGTTTCGGAAAAAAACAGTACATCAAAATTACACACAAAATTTAGGAACTCGACGTCACTTAAACAGCTTTTCAGACCTTCAATATTCCAAGACAAAATATTCAAGTCATACTTTTCTCTGGTCTCCTAGTCTGTACCATGTGGTATCGCTCCAGTAGTCGGTGCGTACAGCTGGTTGTTGATAAAAAGCTTGTCCCGGACCAAAACTGCTTTTTTGCCGTCTTTCCTGGCTTTCAGCTTCTAAGGGATAAGGGAACGTCTACGTTCCATTATCTCGGGTGGTAACTGTTCTGTCACATTATACGGTGAGCTTTTGAAATTAAAACCTTTCAAATGATTCTTGACGGCTTGGACAGACTGCTTATCTTTAAAGCGTACAACGATGGGTCGTATTTTGTCCTAAGCAGGTGCACCAACTCTGTGCGCAACATCGATGTCGAATTGCAACTGGGGATCGGAGATATTCAAGATTTTAGCGAAAAAGTCATGTACTTTCTCTACACAGTTCTCAATGTTAGAACCTGCTGCTCGAGAATTAATCGTCTATTCGGGGTTTCCGGAATCGCTCTGAGTCATAAGCCCGGAGGACCCAGACACTACCTCAGATATGAGCGGCCCTGGTTTTACATGTCCGCCAAGAAGCGTGTTTGTAGAGATAGAAGACGGTGCAGGCACACTGGACTGTGAAAGGGTGGGATATTGGGTGGGGATCTGCGCGCTGCCTTCCGGAATACCGTGGAATAACATATTTAGACTCATTGAAGAAATAAGAATATATGTTTATTATTTTGGTGTAATTTCCAGTGTCAAACTGGTGTAAATGCAATGTTGTAAATACTTAACAATGAACACTGACTTATTAAGTGTTTGAAATTAAATACTTTTCAAAAACAGTTAATTTACTAGATTGATTAACGTAAACCGATTTACCAATCTAGTAAATGTGTTGAATATGTTACGATTTATATGAAATACTACAATTCTATTGGATAATAAAAAGTCATTTCAAACATTAAATTTGATATGGGTAATATACGAATTGCATTATTAGTATTACTACAAATTAAACATGGTACAGTTTAGTAATTCGGACACTCTTAAAGCACTAGATTTTTTTCATAAACGAGTATATAATAGTACGAAGACCAACAATCAGTTAGAAAATTACTAAGTGATTTCAACAAAGATGTTGCAATAAATCACAAACTCACTCAGGGCCTTTGATTGAGTTGGAATGTATAAGAGTTTATTGTCTTGAGCCTGAGTATAAAACAGATGAGAACCCACTCTTTTGATATATAAAAACAGAAAACGTTAAAAGAAACTTTTGGCAAACTAGAACAATAATAATAATTTGTGAACAGATCAAGGATAGATTTATTCAAACCGATATAAAATTCTATATTTTCACTTCCTCGCCTATGAAAATGATTTTTGATTTAATCATTGTGATAATCAGAATTATAATGAGATCATTTGAATAAATAAAACGTTTAGTAATATCAAAAGAATTTGCAAACAAATTGTAAATCAGATAAGACTTTCAACCATATCAATGATAAGATGATTCACTCATATATGTGATAGATGACTTCATTGTATTTAATGTTAATTATTAAACTAATTAGTGTTAATTAGCGGTTAAATTGAAATGGCATAGCCTTAAAACATTGTCTTACTGACTCCCTTGCAGCTTTACATGCCAATCAGGGAAAATATTTAAATAATTGAAAGTAGAATACAAATATATCACAACTACATATCCCAAAAACACATATACCCCAGTACTTTAAATGTTAATTTAATTTGTGTTGAGGCAAGTAAAGAATTGCAAGCCTTATAACTTTTAGTACTACCTTCATTGGTTGGTTTGCACAATATAGATAATACGACAACTTACTGGCATAACTGGTGGAGGAAGACCTTCTAAGCCCTTCCATGCATTATTTCAGACACGAACGGGACCTTGATTAGAACCACGCTTCGTAAGCTAGCTGGGTGAAAGAATCCAAAACCAGTCCCTGTCCGGATTCGAACTCACAGTGGTGAAGGGCAAGTGTTTTGACGTCAACGACCTTAACCACACGGCCACGGACGTAATATCCCATCAATTTATTGATTGAGACTAAAAAAAGGATTGGAGCACCACACTAAATACCGTATTCCGGTACATACCGGACAAGACGCTTGAATAATCTCGCCTTTTCACATTACGGAACGAACTTTAAACGGTCTAATTCATCTTTTCACATCGATTTATGTATGATAGTGAACGAAAAATGTAATAATCGGCGGAAAAAAAAACAATATTTGTCTATTTCGTGATCATGACTTCTGTAAGCGTCTAGAGGTACTGCTCCAATCCTGTATTGAGTTAAATCCCAATTTATTTATGCATTTAAATAATTTTGGGCTATTTTTCAAAGACAGTACTTAGAGAAAAAAGTACATGTTTTGTATACAGTTAAGACTAGTTAAAATTAAAAAGTTAAAATTATAAGTTTATTTTAAAAATGGTATATTATATGGAGATTTCAATACTAGCTTGAGATCTTGATAAATCGGATTATAAAAGGTAGGCTAAAATACAAGAAAAGCATTAGAAATCTGCCTTGTGGAATATGTTATATATAAACTGAAAAAATATTCATTAGGCATGCGTGTGTTATAAAGGTATAAAGGCTGCATGCACCAGAAATAAACTTGGTTGGTTGGTTGGTTGGTTGGTTGGCTTAAATATACTTAGTTAAGCTCGAATGTGAAAAAGTTCTCGCAATATTAATCACTTTCGAGTTCGCTTCCTGGAACCAACCAGTACTGGTGTCATATGAAGAAACATTGTCGTGACCAAAGTAGGGCTCGAACCTATAATCCCTGGGTTGAGAGGAAGACACCTTTACCATTAGGCCACCACTCCCCTGAATAAACTTAGAAACTCTTACATGAATCCTTCTATTTTTTTTAAATCGAAAATGCTATATCGTTCATTCTACATGTATATCAATAAAAATTGGAAATAAATGAGACAACCAAAAAAGAAAAATGTTCAAATGTCATGTTTAATAGGCGCTGTAGAAGTCGTTCGTTATATGGCTAACATTGAAATATAGATACAATATTTCTGTTTAAACATATCCAATAAACACACAATGACAGCCAAGTTAAAACTGAAGAAATAGCTATTGAATGAGGAAATACGAGTATCTGTGGACGTTTTGTAAGCTTTCAATCACATCATTTACTTTGATAAATTACACAAAATGTATAACTTCATATTCTTAATATCAACTTTATTCTAAAAAAGAATAATGTTGAAACTAAATTGAAAAGATGTTTGTTCACATTTGACTCGTTTACACAATAACAATCATATGCTGTGATCATTCATATATTTTTACTTAACCACCAGAAATTATATGAGCCGCGCCATGACAAAACCAACATAATGTGTTTGCCAACAGCATGGATCCAGACCAGCCTGCGCATCCGCGCAGTCTGATCAGGATCCATGCTGTTCGCTATCAGTATCTCTACTTGTAATAGGGTTTGTAAGCGAACATCATGGATCCAGATCAGACTGCGCGGATGCGCATGCTGGTCTGGATCCATGCTGGTCGCAAACGCATTACGTTGGTTTTGTCGTGACGCGGCTCATATATAAGTTTAAGCAAAACCTTATAATCGATCATACAAACTGTACTTAGAAAATTTATTATTTTGTACCGACAATATAATTAATTTATCGATTCGTCATAGATTATGACTTAATGACATGCATACAAATTATGTTACTTTGGTATAAAAAGCAGTAAGTGTCAACCCCTTTCACAGATCAGGTCTTGATTAATACTTGGTTAAACCCTCTCAAGGTAAGCTGTTTTGTTCTTTTTGGTTTTTGTTTTTATGTTTTGGTATTTTTATTATCATTGTTATTGTTCCTATATCACATTTAAGAGTACTTGTACGTTTTTGCAAATATCATTATACGCCTAAGCGACATTGTTTTTTACCTTGGCAATATTCTATTAGATATTATTATATGACAAAATAGCACAAAACTTCGCCACTCCTTAAAGGTGTGCTGTTTAACTTGCAACAATTCCTAAATTGTTTCAGCTATTATAGAACTTCACTGAGGTATTTGGACATTAGGGGACTGGAAATTTATTTTTGAGATTAATGTTCCATTTGAAGTCGGTCTTGACTAAAACCTTGTGTGCAAAATGTCAAATCATCCTTTTACTCTGTTTTTCCGGAATAATTATTTCAATTGTGCAAAATGACCTAAATTGAAAAGTGTTGCAACGCTTTTGAGTCATATCGGGGAAAAAATAGCTCAAAAGTACGATTTTGAATTAAATGCATTTTTATTACATGTATGAACTACATATATTCTGTTTCAAGTGCACCAGTTTTTCTATATAAGAAGTTTAAATTTCATGTTTTAGGCTTTTTGGACCTCAGTAGAGTTCCTTTTATATGAAAGGAACTGCTTCTTAGACATTCCGTTCCGTTATTGCTACATATTGCTTTCTTTCAGACAGCTAACCATGCTTGCCATAACTATGATTATGGTCCTCCTTATGACCATGGTCCTCCTTATGACACAAACAATCCACGGACTGAGCCATTTATTACCTCCTCATGGGCATGGACATACTTACCATGGTTTCTCTAGAGGAAATCGCGGTTTTCATGATGATAATTTCTTCGAGTTCGATGATGACCATCGGTTTCGTCGTAGATTTCCGTAACCTCCCCGCCGTCGTTTTTATCATGGGTATTTTGATGACTAAGGTAAAGTAGAGAACGATTTTCGTCTTTAATATTTAGAATAATCTTGCAGGAAGACTTAATGCTTTTCTAAAAGTTTTCATTTCAAACACATTCATAGAATACGAGTCTAGGATTATGTAAAGCGGCTTTTGACAAGTTTCAATGATTTTTAGGGACGATTTGAATGAAAGTCTTTATGGAATAATAAAGAATATAAACTCATTTTATCTCATTTTGTGTCCATTATGCTTCAGAAATGCTTGTATTTTGTTTTCTCAAAATCGTTTTATTTTGGGTGAACTTTTATTGTTTTCAAAGAACTATTCTTTTGCAAATAACCTGAATAATCTTTTCTTCTGTTTCTTTTTGGCAATTAGTAAAGTTATAGTGAATAAGTATTTTGTATGGAAGTCAAAATACTACTTTTGTTTACATTTTTTTTACTTTTATGACAAATTATTTCACATTAAGCTCTACTTTCTTCAGGTAATAAGGATCTATCATGCTCTAAAACAATCATTTAAGCGTTATAAAGATAATGTTTTTCCCTTTTGAAAGGAAAATAACTTAATTCGTGTCTGAGACATAATGTGCTTTTAAGCAAGAACCTGACAAAAATGCTTGACGATAACTTCAGATGTCTCATTTATTCACTGTGCCATCAACAGTTTATACAAAGTACATTGTGATTAGAACCATGGCATAAGTTGCATATTTATTTAGGCGAGTAATTTACGTTTTCTATTTCACCTGTCCGTCTGTCTGTCTGTTTGTCTGTCTGTATGTTTGCATGTAATGATGGCCAAATTTCAAGTGCATTTCAAAGACAAATAATTTCTTTCATTTAGATCTTCTTGTAATATTTAGTTTTATCTTTAGCACACGTTAGAATTCCGAGGGATCACCTTGTTTCCAGATTTTTATACTTCACAACAGCAGGTGTCAAGTGCTGTGTGGCAGCTGTAAAAAGTTGCACCGTACTTCACTTCAGTGTTGTTATATTTTTCTGGTCCTTCGGGATCATTGATGCCAGCACTATTAAGTGTTGAGAATTGAGTACCTCTCAAGCCGGTGCTAGGGGGCGTATGGGATGTTGCACATATTCATTATCCCTCATGTACAGACTCAATCAAACCGAGTCTGCAATTCTCTAGTAATTTTGTTGTGAGGGATCACATTGTTTCCAGAAATTTTATTAAGCTTGAAAAGAATATCTTTTCATTTTAATTAATTATTATTTGCATATATAACTCTGATTTTATTCTCTCTTTTTTTAGGGTATCGATCCGGATATCCGTTCAGCATTGGTTGTTGTTAGGATCCTTTCAATACTTAATCGTGCGTTTTATTATTCTTGTTAATGATTATTATAAATAATATTGTATATTTGTTATTTGAATAAAATGTCGAGTTTTAAAAACTTCAATATATATATCAATATTATATACAGTTAACGAAATCTTCCCCGGCATCTATCCCCACTTCAACATACAATTACAAATTATTGTGTCAATAGCACTGTCGTTCTTTCCAACTAAAATAAGAAATACATTGTTGTAAGAAATGTCTTTTGAATGATGTAAGGAACTTATTTTCAAGTTTTGAATAAATGATTGTTTAGCAAAAAAAAGGGTAATGTATCTTCATTGGAATGATAAATCTGATTCAAGTCCAATATATCTAACCACTGTACTTAAAAATGTTCTCTCCTCTACGACTGTGACTGTGTACATGCATATACAACAGTTACATCTCTGTAGCAAATCAGGCACTTAGCTATGATTTTGCAATATTACGATCTTTTAATCATTATTAAAATATCTAAAACAAAATTTGAAATGCTTGCAACATTTTAAAGCCATGTCGAATAAGTGATGGAATAGTTAAAAAGCATTGCAACGCTTTTCAATTTTCTGAAATTTTCTAAAGCCAACGATCTGCAATTTTTCACTTGAGTTTTCGTTCTATATCTCTATCAAATCTATAAGATAAGTGAAACACCGAAATGATCATAGAGATACATAAAAAGGAATACCCATATGACCATAACAAAAGTACTCAATATTTTAAAGAAAGACAGAGTCACAAAAAAATCACCTACAAGGGCCCGACGAAGCAAGGCAGAAGACGAATATTAGGGCAATTCAGTCCCAAAGGGCATTAAGAACTGTCCACCATAGAGTATCCCACTTGGTCCGTCAGATGTAATCAAAAGAGGAAAGGACCAACTGTTAAAGTGTTGAACAATAAGCATGCGGTATATCTAAAAAAAAAAGTAGGGTCAAAACTTTTTTTGGTTAAACATTTAATAATTTTAGTAAAGGCAACAGAAAAATTACAATGACCAAAGATCATGCGAAGTGTGTAAAAAAATCTCTATTAAAATCATTTTTGAATTTACTACTGAATTTTGAGATTGTAAAATTTTGTAACAAATTTACGTAATTTATAATAGCGGCCCTGTTTGAGTAGCTTGCTAGTAATTTAAATACTTAGCTTGTAAAAATCTTTCACGTTGCTAGAAGCTCTAGCGAATCTAATTTACTGAGATACATATACCCCGTCAGATGTTGCATGCGGTAAGTCTCCATCTAAATGTGGATAGTTTACTATACCATTATCAAAGTCATCACTTTTATCCTAGATTTTTGTGTGAATAGAATTATTTTTGATAATAATATAAAGAGCCAAAATAAAGTTTAAACGTAAAAATTAGCTCCCGATATTATCTGCAACTGAAATTTGCCGCGGTTGGCCGTGGGTTGTATACCAACTGGAGTTGAAGGTCACTTGACACCTTCGTAACCACGTACGAAGGCATCGTACTTAAAATACGACGTCGTGAACCTATCCTGTGACCTTCGCGTGTCCTGCTGGTAAACTGCTTGATACAAAATTGCATCTTTGAGGTGACTTCGTGTGTGTATCGGATGCCATCGCGTGTGACACCTTCGGTAGGAATCGTGTGTGGCTCGGATGCGATCGCGTGACCTTCTGTAGGAATCGTACTTGTTTCCGATGTTGAGAGACTGTCGACCAATTTCGGGGCAATCTTCGCACGAAATTAAAAATTTAATATTCGTATGCCCATCTGGTGTCAATTTCGGGACAGTGTGACGCCTGCATTAGGATCCTTTCAACATTTAATCGTGCATTTTATTATTCTTGTTAATGATTATTATAAATAATATTGTATATTTGTTATTAATAAATGGAATAAATTGTCGATTTTTAAAAACTTCCAAATATATTTATATATCAATATTACATATAAAGTCAACGAAATCGTCTCCCGCATCCATCCCCAATTCAACATTAAATTACAAATTCTCGTATCAAAAGCACTGTCGTTCTTTCCAGGTGAAATAAGAAATACATTGTAGTAAGGAATGTCTTTTGAAGTTTCAAGTTTTGAATTAATGATGGTTTAGAAAAATGATATTCTTCATGGGAATGATAAATCTGATTCAAGTCAAATATATCTAGCCACTGTACTTCAAACTCTTCGCTCCTCTACGACTGTGACAGTGTATATGTATATACATAGAGGATATTGAATGAGTGTTAGTTCAATACTGAATTTATTACACGAGTTGAATAAAATTATATTATGCGAGCCTCTGGCATAATATTATTTTATTCAACGAGTTCAATAAATTCAGTATTAAACTTGCACAAATTTAATATTCTATTTATCACATACCCAAAATAAAGCCTATTAAAGTAAAAAAAGAGTCATTTTTCGTTGACGCGTTTAAAGTATAACGCTAACATTTAGCGCGTCTGTATAACGCTAATGACGTCATGTCAAAATATATGCATGGCCGTGTAATACCATTTTTACGGAGTCGCAAAATCGGCAGGGGTGTGTGATAAATGTCGAATAAGTGCATCAAAACAATACAAAAAATAACAAACTCAACAAAATCTAGCAGTTGTCTAAAAGCTTAAAACATAAAATATCAGTTATTTACCAAAATCACCTAGGGCACTTAAGACAGAAAGATACACAGAAGATAATTAAATATTTATACTGAAAATCGTATTTTGTGTTATTCTTAGCCCGATTGGAGTGAAAAGCGTTGCAATCTGAATGTAAATTGTTTATTTTTTATTCTGAATGTCATTTAAGATTAAAAAAAAAGACTAAGTTAAACAATTAACGTTTAATCAAACCGTTTGAAAACATGTGCAGAGGGAAATACTGAAAAACACTGAAAATCCGGAAAAAAACGTAAACGTGTTTTTTTTGCGCTGCTTCAGAGATAAAACTTGTTTTTCTCCTCTAAAGAAATGAACAAGTATATTTTGATGCACGCCTAATCGAAATTTTAGCAAATTCATGCACTAAATTAAATGTAAAAAATACTTTTTGTACTTCATGAATGGCAATAAATGTTTGAAATGCTTTTTGAAACGTGTCACACTTTTTGAAGTTTTCAATTTGAATTATGTTGAATGAAGAAAAAATATCTTAATTTCGTCCTCTGCAAAGTCATCAAAAAAAAGACCTATGTCCTGAATTATCCTTCCAAACGGTCAAAAAGCCTAAAACATTGAAATTTGAAATTTGAAATTCTTACCTACTGTAGCAAGTGAAGTACTTAAAATATAAAACTCTGTAAAGGGCAATAAAGAAACATACTAGTACTCAGAATTCAATTGAAAATCGATTTCCTTGTTCGATTCTTAGAATGTGTTGTAACGCTTTTTTAAATCGTTTTGTACAATAAAAATGATATGTCTTGAAAACGGGAAGAAGGAATTATCTAAAAATTTGCATGCAGGTTTTTGGACCAGACTTGTATCAAGTGATATACAAAACTCGGAAAAAATATTTCCAGTCCCCGTCATGTCAAAAAGCTCCGTGGAGCCCAAAAGCGTATATAAAAATATATATAAAAATAAATTAAAACTTAATCTTTTCTGGAAAATATTAAGACTTACTATCAAGTTTCTAAAGAATGATATAAAGAATTTTTTATTACATAATTATACTTTATAATTATGTTAACGAAACACACTTTTCCAAGGAAGATTTGTGCTTAAATTTAATAAAACATTTTCAGTTAACTGTATTTCAAAACAAAGATGTTTTGTCTTTTCCTTTCAAATGTGTTTACTGGAATGAAACATCCAACAACAACAACAAAGTGTAAAAGCATGCCTAGAAAATATGTAAGTATTTCTCCTAAACTAGATATATCCTTCGTCAACTATGATTTCAATTGAGAGAAATTGTCATTGTTTTGGTCTTTAAATACAATAGTATTATGCCCATATTATTGTCAAACAAATCTTTTCTCTCCATGTGAAGATTACCATATTTTATCATCACCCCTTCTTTCTTATCAACGTTGTAAAGGTATGTTCATTCGAGATAACAATTTTAGACGAATTTTCAACGAACGAAAACAGTGTTTTTGAAGTAAGTTTTCCTTGATGTTTAGTTTTCAAATATTAAACGTCTTTATAGTACATTTATTTTATCGTATAAAAATGCTAACCTATCTAATCATATCTCCAATTCTAAATACATTGAATATTTAGGTTGGTCGAACTTTTCCGAAGGTAATCATATTTGTAAGAATGGTGGAATCGATATTAAAGTGATTACAGCTTTAACATCTGGGCAAATCAAGAATACTTGTAACAGTATTTGTAATTACACTCTTTTAAATCTTTGAATATCATATTAGGATAATTTTGATCAATTATTTCGGATTTTAATACTCTGTCATTTTTTTACTAAATTATATGTAGTTTTCTTTCTGTCTGCCTGATTACAAACACATTCTACCGGACTGTGATATTTGACATTGAAAAATGCAACACTAACGTTCTTGACCAAAAATGCATGTAATTGTTACAAATGGCAACAATTTCAACCAGTATACTCGTGCTTGCATTGAGTTGTTATTAGAAAAATAATTTACAATTGAAAAGGTTTCTTTCGGGAAGAAAAATTCAAAACTTCAAACATTACAGACTCATATCCATGCGGATATGATTCATATGCATAAACAAACAGACCCATTTGGGATTTTATAGGTTTCAGCTTTGCATCATTTTTTAATCATTTTCTATACTTTTAAAAGACTTTTTTTTACAAACTCATGAGAGTACAATAATGTCCCCTTTTCACAAGTTCAATAATGGCACATCTGTTCCAACATTTCAACAACTAAACCAGTGCACGGGTATGGGTTCAAAACATCTTCAAAGATGTTTGTTCAAGTTATTAAAGATTAAAGATGTTAAGACTTTAGGCTACAATATGAGTCATATACGTGTCATTTTTTATAATACACATAATTATTTTATCCTTTTGTTTATCTTAGCTAATTGCTAATGAACAAATGTTCATATTAATAAAAACAATCGGGTTTCAACGTCAGACCTCTCGCTTCCTAAACGAATGTTAGT